TATATATATATATATATATATATATATATAATGTGTGCGCATATATTTGTCTTACAAAAACTCCCTTTTAGAAAGAAGCTTTGTGTTTTGTTACATGTGCTTTCAATAACCGGTCGAGTTATCGTCACGAGCGCTCCCAGGGAGCGGCAGCAGCAGCAGCAGCAACAACAAAGTTCAACCTATCTCAGTGTAACAAGGATACTCTTTAGGCACTTAGAGAACATGGTCCCACATAAGTGTTATTACCGAAACCGTTTATTATGCTATTAGCTTCCAATTTACTGGAAGCCGCCGAGGGAACGCTCGCAGTGTGGCTGCAATAAAAGTTTACGGGCTGTAATGAGGATATCATGCCTGTGTGACACAAAGCGCCATCTACCGGTGGTAAATAGCTCCATATAGTTGGTAATATTTGATTCACCTAAGCAGGACGAAAATTAAAAAGGGAGGTCAGTATCACTGATCTCTATATACTAATTATATTTACTAGTTATAGTAATTTGATACTTTGGTAACTACAGTTAAATGTGTATCATTTAACATTTTGGTTTAAGATTTGTCTTCTAGAACGTGTGCGTAGATTGCCACGCAAATTATTTTGCGTTATTTTTGGTTTCTGTTGAGTGAGAGTGTGTATTAGTTTGTTATTGTTTCGATTTTGCTTCACATCGACTTACTTGTTCATAAGCTGTGTAGTGTCGACGTTATTTCGTGTGTGGTATTGGTATCGATGCTCTAAAGTCTGAACAGTAGCGCCACCTATTCTTATCTATTGGAATTATAATAAAATAGCGTAGCAAATCGTATTATGATTACATACCTGCCTAGGGAGGACGTTACTTTGCTATTGCTGTTATGAGGTTACGCTGTTTGCTACTACTTTCTTGTACTTATCCAAAGAGGCAAGACTCTGTAGGTATCTAAGTGTGAGATTTAAATATAAAACTATATATTACACTTAGTGCCTAGGTATTTATACAAAGACAATAGATCAAATGCACAGCTACAGAAACACCACACATTACAATAAATCTGATTATGTAAAATTGCACATATGTAATTTTTAGTTCATGACCACTTTACACACGATACGATACGAAAACTGGCTTATGAAACCTTTCACAAAAACGAGTCAGGTTTTCTACTGAATGTGTGCCGTGCTAAATTGTCGTTAATAAAATGAATGTAAATAATATGAAGCCAGCTGCCAACACAGCAGGTAGGTCACCTTTAGTAAGTGTCAACATACCAGCGTGTCGCATTAGACAGTTTGACCCACACGTGTACTTCAAATTATAAACGTTTTATCTGGAATACATGATCGACTTGTCGTGGAGTATTACTGTTCACATCTAATATTATAAACTTCAGATTACAAATTTGTTTCTGCATGGCAAGTTTTAGAATAACTACGGAATCGAGCGGATGTTTTACTAATATCTACGTTTTTAACCGCTTCATCTCTGGTTCACACTCTATAGATGCATTGCATTTTTCTAGAGCCACATTCATGCTCTCACAGTCTGTGTGAGCCTTACCAGCATCAGTCGTACAATCACTAACAGACTCATTGCTAGGGACTATCGGTGTTGCACCGGGAATGTGCTGATTTTGTTTCCCGGTATTTAATCGGTCCTGCTTTCTTCTGATGTAGTCGCTGACATTGTCCACTTTTACCTTCCACAGCAACGAGTATCGGCTCTTTGTCGTCATTAAATCTTAAATCGAAGAATTAGGAAAATCATAAGTTTTAACTACAAAAGGAATTATTAACAATGTAAATAACTCAATTTATCATAAAGTTGCTTTGATGTGTTGAGGTACTGCTATCATATTTCAATGTCAACATATGTGCATACATGTGTACGTGCATGTGTGTGTATGTGTGTGTGTACCTAAGTGTGTGTGCACGAGTTTGTGTTCTGATTTTGAAATTGAGATTTTGTGAACAATGCCACAGATACAAGTGCATCTAATCTCGACGAAAGCTCATATGATTCTGTGACGTACATTTTTCTAGACAGTAACCAGTCTATAAGCAGTTTATGATGGAAATCCCACATGATGTGAGAATCGTATGGCAGCAACACTTCATTCAAAGTTAATTCGAGATTGCAATCATCGCTGATATATAATTGCTGCTCTATCATCGCTGATATAATATTGGTAAATATAATGACGTAAGAGTGTTCAATACATGCTAACCTTACTACAGAAATCATCGACGAGCATTTTACACAACCCTACTTAACACATTATAAAACTAAGACACCTGTAAGAAACTTCAGATCTTGCACGAGGTGGGAGGCGAGTATTTCCTTGTCTACAGCAGTGCATGACGACTCACAGCATGCAAACTGCAATCCCAAACAAACGCATCAATGAGCCATAATTACACGAATATGAATCTCAATAAGCATAGAATTACTGGCTGAAGGCTTTACAACATATGTATTTAGAAAGTGCTGATAAATTGAAACCAGTCTTAGTAACATTGCATATTATTTGTCAATTTATTTATAAGGAAAAAAATCTTTTCATTTTCATTCTGTGAGATATTAATTACCCTGAACAGAAAAAATGGCAGCCAGAACAGCTTAAACCACACTGCGCATATAATCTGTTTTGTCAAAACTGAGTTGCTTATTTGCCTGCTACCACATACCTTACCACCGTCATCCAACCCATATACACACAGTGGCCGTATACGATCCATCAGCACGACCCACAGCTTGCCAGTACTATCAAACTGCAGGTCAGTTATTGGAGCAACTGTTTCGATGATCTGCTTGCACTCACATCGCAAGGACGCAGAGATCGTCAGAATCAGAATTGTGCACAATCTGTAAAAAACACGTCAAATTTACTACTGTCACATTCATAAAGTATCTTCATTCACTACATTGTAGATATTTAGTACAAGGGTAAAAAAAAACAATAGTGCAATATCCAGCATTTACGTCTGCATGACAATCATTGAGTAAGAGCATGGTTTCCACTCATGAATGTTAAGGTAACATCACTTGGGGAAGTGTGGTTTTCCTGATTAGCTGACCACCCGTCACTCAACATTACATTTTATCCGACAGTCAATTTGTGTGCTATATGAGTATTGTTCAATGTTGTTTGATACATGTTTCGTATCAAAAAATTATCAACAATAACATTTATTGATATTCAGTATGGGCGAATTTCAGCAACCTGAATTCCCGTTATGCTGAGTATTAACTGTAGTTAATGAATTTTTGACTTTCACATGAAAAAACAAAATTGCAAGAATGCACAGAAAAAACATGGCACTGCCATGTGAACAAGAAACAATGAGTGTCAACAGCCTACGACACCTAACATCAAGTTAAGCATACCCATCTAAGGCAACTGCTAGGTAGATGGCGCCACCAATCTTTGTTGCTCTAATGAAATGTACTATGGCCGTTGCTTTGCCGGGTTCTGTGTGGGTGCTTTGTTTATCATTGAGTCTTCCTATTGCTTCACTGCAGTCTATTACTTGGTGTTGATCTCCTGATTGGTAATTCCAAAGTCTGAGCGTGCCATCGCCTGATCCACTCACCAAGACCTGATCGTGATCTGGCAATAGACATAAGCAGCTCACAAACCTAAAAACAAATGTACGATAATTAAATCTAGGAAATAAATCATCACCAACTCTTCAGATCTTTATATATTTTCGAAAAGCAGTGTAGAAAGAATAAAGATCTCCTAAATTTGTAGGTTTCATGATATTTCATTTCTTTAATATGAGGCTATTGACCTGAGGTACCTTCCATTTTAGAATATTGGTTACTTGTATTTTAATACTAAAAAATCAGGCAGGATAGGCAGTAACTTTCAGGAATTAGAATCTTGATCATCCCCTTTAAATGTGAGAGAAACAATGAAGTCTACTTACTCAGTGTGACCCAGGCAAAAGCTCTCAATGTTGTAGGCATTTGGGTAGTGACTCACTCTTATCTTTTCATCTCTATCACATGTGATCACAAAGTTGTTGTCAGGAGAAAATGTCTGAAAAAACCCATACATCAAGAATCGTAGGCATGTGCTGTGACTTCATAATCTCACTTCACATAGTTGTTATTCACGATGAAGAGAGTGGTTTCTGAGTTATAATTCACTAGAAGCTTAAGGATGCTCATACAAATACATAGTGGCTACAACTACATTGACATATCAGAAATTTTGCAGGTTAAAGGTAAAGTGATCCCATAACACTTTGTGAGGTTAGTAATTACATTATGAAAGTATAAGAAACTATTATAAATTAACCAATCTTTCTGTGCACTATCAGGGGTCGAAATTAGCGGTATCCCGATATCCACGGGATAGTAGATTCTTGTGTTGGATACCAGATTTCAATGCTTGGTATCCCGCCGGGATAGTAAAAAAAAATCGTCAAGATCGGGATAGTAGTTGTTGAGTTATCAACTTTATACGGCAGCGCATCTGAGCGAGTGCACGTAGAGCGAGTGCGCACGATCTGAGTGGGCTCAGGCACCCTTAAGGCCAAGACACACTGCAGCGACAGCGACCGACCGTAACGACAAACGACAAAGTCGCGGCGACTGGCACAGCCACACTGCAGCGACAACGACCGACCGTAACGACAAAGTTCACCCAGCACTCACCACTGTGCACTGCCAGTGCCAGTGGCACACATGAGCAAACGGTAAAAAACTCCTGCTGTTGCTTTTAAATAAATTGCTGTAAAAACGCTCTATTGTTAACGATAATATAATAAAGTAATATATACGCAGCATATTATACGAACGCACACAATAATCAGGTCCGATGGCTGACCGTGGCCTTCACGTTTTGGTTAGATGGGTTCGCGGCCCCACTGTTTCTGACAGGCGGTGCGAATTTAGCGCTGGGGACCAGTCTACTTCCTGGCTAGCATTGGTTTATAATTTTATGACGTAATGGCGATGTCACGTGCCGATGGAAACGGCTGTGATTGGCCATTTGTAAAGTGTCGCCGGCCAAAGTCGTTGGAGAATAGAAACGTTCCTAATTATTTTTGTCGTCGAGGTTGTCGCCGGTCGTCGTCGCGTCAGTGTGCAACGGCTTATAGGAAACAATAGTTTCTAATTTTCTGAAAAGTTGTTTGTCGTTACATTGCACTGCACGTCTCCCGAATGGATACCATAATAAAAATCTAATTTCAACCCCTGACTATCAGAGTAAACTCTTGATTGTGTCGACTAGTTATTTCTATATTGGTACCAAGCCCATCATACCAAGTCTAGAATCATTGAAAGATGGCCAAGCAACAGGCTTCCTTTCTCCTCAGGATTGTTTAGGGAATATGCAAGAACGTCTCCTGACTTATCACCCACAACAACCGTTTCACCATTCGATGAAAATGTCATGGACATGCAACGTCGTTGAAGAGACCTGGAAAAAACGAAGAAAACATTAACCACCAAACATCAACCAACTAGGGAAAATTACATATTAATCTCTACATGAACACCAAATCTTAAATATAACAGCCAGCTAATAGGTGGTAGGGTTAGGCCCTTATTTCTTTATTTTTTGCTAAAACTCAGTCAGGTTTGCTAGGCTTTAGTGAACAAACATTTTAATGAGATGATTTATGGGAGAATTCAATTTTTGCATTTACCTTGCATACTATTATTTATAGCTAATTAAAAATGTAGCATGAAAGCTTTCAGCATAATATGAGTATATTTTTGACTGTGTGAACCTTTTCATCCTCATATCATACAGACATGTGTAACTCTGTGACAATTACAGTTAATATTAATTTATTAATTACCGACAACTATTATGCTTCCATTCATGATTGACTTCAATCCAAACGTGTATTTGCTTGTCGTTGTCACACACAACAAGACGTGATGACGATGGATCCAACCCAAATGTCAGGACTTCGTTTTCCGTACCAGCATCAAATTTTTCTGCTCGAGGCGATACAATTTCTTGCCGCTTGCCATCTCTAAAATTTATAACAGACATCGATGTATCGTTAGTCATCAGGCAGTTACGATAGGCGCAGCATATCAAACATGCCTGCAACATTCTGAATTGCCAATTATTAACAACACCAAGCTGTGCACTTCGAATTTATGAGACGGATATTACTTTTCCAAACATTGTCATTACTTGAATACTTCATTAATTATGGATTCATTTTAAAGGACTAGGCTCTTTGCGCGCAAGTTGATTGTTTATAGATGGCGCAATGGTTTTCGCCCGGGCGTTTACTCGCCGTGAAACTGCT